TCGCTGCCCACTCACTGTGTGTTTATGAAACAAAGAGAAAATGAAAAGCTTCTCCAACACAGAAGCCATTAGTTTGGCCACATACCAACCCCTCTTGCCTCTATTGCATCCCAGCAGAAATAGCACTGCCCAAGCTATACGGGAGCTATTTGTAGCTACAGAGGAGGATACTGCATTTGACCCCCACAAAAGAACAAGTATTTTGGCTTGTTTTTTTTTCTCTAATGGTGTCATTTATCACTGTGACACATATTCATTGACTTAGTCTGAATTTTTTCAGTGTCAGATTTATACTTCTTTTCTGTTTTGAATATTGATGCAGCATTTCCCTTACGTGACTGTACTGTGTCTGCCAAATGGTGTCTAGACGCTAGAGCAGCTTTGACTAATTAGTGTAGTCACCCCAGTCACTCAGCTTTGGCATTTGCGTACTCTTTATGTTACTGCTGTCGTGCCATAAATAGGTACCTAAACACAAGCAGCAACGTAAAGAGAAGTCCAGCATGTCCAGTCCAGTCTCTTTAGGTCCACCTAAAGAGAGGTGAGCATGTCCAGTCTTCATCATCGAGGTCTAACATCCAGGCTGACATCACCGAGGTGAGCACAGAGGACAGCAGCCGTCACTCCCTGCATTCACTAACAGGGCAGGTAATTGTGACCACTCACTTGGACATCGCAGCGTATGTGCGTGCAGTCAGCGGGAGATCTGGATTCAATGTCGTTCTTGGCCTGAAGATCATCTCTGCAAAGGCAAGGCTCAAAGAGAAGACTTCTCTCTCTCCAGGCTCAGCCCCTGTGTACCAGCAATGAAGTCCTTCCTGGGGAGGACTCACATATCTGGTTTGTAGAGTTGCTTTCCAACAGGCCGTGATTTACACCAGATCCAAACTAAAACTACAGTTTTAGAAATTTTCCACAACTTCATCATTTATATCATGCTTTTAAATATTGCACCAGTGCTGAAGCTGAGTTGACCAGCTTTAAAGAGGGAGAACTGATAAATATCAAAGATAACTTCAGAACATCAAAGAACTTTTACAAAACCTTGAGAATAAAAAATAGTGAAAACCTAATCAATGTTGCCTACGCAACAGGCTGTGCTAATATAAAATTAAATTGCCTCAAAAATTATATGCAGATTAAGCACAATACTGCTATTAACAAAGCTTATTTGTAAGCAAAATTTGAAAGTTTTTATTTATCCTGCTGAGTATTTGAAGAACCACTATCATAAGGAAAACAAATTAACTTTGTTTTCTTTGTATTTTTAACTGTTACAAATGATTTTACTGCTGCTAATACAAAGCATTAGAGAATAGCAGGTTTGGGATTTTTTTTCTTTTCTACTCAGAAAGACTGTTTATTGTTTGAGCAGATTTTCTTTGAATTTGCCAGTAGGATTATTCTTATTTTTTTCAGTTAGTGGTATACAAAATATTTAAAGTAAGCTTTCCAGGAGATCTGCAGTTTACTTTGAGGAGATTTTCCAGGGCTAAGATAGGACTCATTTAATTTGTGGATTTTTTGCCCTACAAAGAGAAGATTATTATTTTTTTTTTCTTCCTGGGAAGAAGATTTCTGGGTGGTTCTCTTCAGTTCCTTTTTTTTATGCAAGGGAAAGGAAAAAATCCTTAATGTTGCTATGCACAAAGAGGATTTGTGATTCTTCAACAGACAAAGAAATTAATAGTTCCTTTTAAATGTAGTCCTGCTACATGTTATGTACAATATAAACTGCCTGTCTCTCTCTATCCAGCCATCTAGTAAATAGATACATATATGTATTTTTACACATGTAAAATTGCGCTCACCTGGAGGCACACGTGTTACAAGCTCTGTTTGTTCTCTAGATTACCAATCATGGGTTAGATGCTTACCCACAAGTTACTACCTACAAGTTGCTTCCTG